TGAGGAGGAGTTTCAGCCACGTAAGGATTCATGTTTATTACCACAAGCAGTAAGTGACCTCTAAAAATAACCATCTTACCTTCTTAAAATGCACCTCATTCTGTAAAGAGATCAAACCAACTCATTAGAATATTTCTAGATCCAGGAGACAACGAAGTCAAGGCTTCTTAGATATTTCTGTGACAAATCATCTTTCTAACACCATGTTCTCAAAACACATTCCCACAAATAATTGGCTGAGTGTTCAGAAGCAGTCAAAGGGAGTCCATTAAGCAGTGAAGATTATTTTTAAAGAAATGGAGAACAATTCAGAATCCATTATTAGTCTCTACCTGCACCCATAACACATCTGTATCGTGAACATCCTATATTGCTGCTAGTCCCTCACTCTATAAAGACAGTAGAGCCCAAAGGACACCAAGATTCAGAGAAAGGATGATGATAATGACTAACTTTAAGGAATAGCTTCCATAAGGAGAAGAGCAGACAGGGGCTCTTCAAGCTGAAAGACAAAACTAAGCAGGGCTGTGAGACACCACTGCCACCAACTCTAGAGACCTCCGAGCCACAAACAGCTGGAGGTTCAGTGTATTCAAATAAAGCATCATTATATGCTTCATCATGAATTAGTGTTTCTTTATTTGTTTTTCCTGAGATTTTGAGTGACTTGTCTTCACTGATTTAAAGTTCCAAAGCAATGACCCAAAGTCAGAATAGCTTTCACCACCTGTGTAATCATCTTTCATAGAAGCAAATCTCTGAGAAGAAAAATGAAAGACTGGGGGAAATTAGAGCAATGTAAATTAAGACAAACACCCGTTTTCAGAGATTTCCGGGAATTAGCATGCTGAAGTTTATGCGTTTCAAAATTCTATGGTATCTGGAAGAGGTAAGGAATATAAACAGTTCTTGTTAAGATTTGAAGCAATCTTTGCTTAAACTTAGAAGTTTTGAAGGGACTACTGGGCTTGCTGTTGTTGAAAAGGGCAAATAGTTTCCATGCAATTCCTACCATGGAGTTCAGCTATGTGCAACATGGCACACAGAAGACAACTGAAGAAGCCTCAACATCCTTCCTGCTGGACTAAAGCTGAACAGGAACTCAGGAATCCTTCTCAAGCGGCTAAGTCACTTCTCTTGTTACGGAAGGGATCACCCAGAAGAGATTTTAGGACAGCTTCTACTCCTTTGGGATTCTGATGACAGCACAAAGTCTGTCTTATCACTCAGTTTGAGGACGGGATCTGACACTTCAAGAACAGAATATGAAAAATAGAATAATTCAGCCCAAAATATCATTTTACCCTACAAGTATGGCTCTCAACTCCCACAGCAATTTAGATATTAAGCTACACATTTTTTTGAGTTACATAATCAAATTTGACCACAAATTCCTAATAACTGGTTATCAAAAACAAAGTCAGCCATTGTCCTCCTGAAGAGGATCCATTTATTTGATGACTTCTGCCCCCTCAACTAAAATCACAGAAGTCATCTCTGGCAGTTTTCTCCTTTCCCGAGTAGCAGTTTTAACAGGATAATCAGGTATTGGATGAGCACAAACAAGTTCCCTCTACTACTGATTAGATGTGAACACTGATACTGGTAACATCACCACTTTCAGTGGTTCCCCATCTTCCAGTACTGGGCATAAAAACACTAAAAAAACAGCAAATAATCCTCAGACTACTTCTAACCTGATCAGATTTAAAGATTTTTGCCATTCGTTGAGAAAGACACAGTAAGATTAAGTAGTCCCTGGATATAATGAAGTTAGCTGGAAGAGTTTTTCCTCAGTGCAGATGAAATGGCAACACAAACATGAGATCCTGACTAGTGAAATTCCTCCAGGTTGCTGCTGCAAAATCATTAGAGTCTGTTCAAAAGGAATAGCACCAAAATACCAGGTTATTTCTGGCGTAATGTTGGACGAAGCACGCAACAACAGGATAGGAAGCGATGCTGAAGATGCGGCTTTTGGATTGTGTACATCTGGCACAGCTGGAATCCATACACAACCTGTGACCTTCCAGGTTGGCTCTGGGAAGAAGCACTGCTGTCTCCCGAGCCCCTGGGCCCATGCTGGGGAGCCATGACTATGAGCTATGCCCAAAGGGTGAACTGCTGCTTCCAGACCCAGCTGGGCTTATGTCAAACAAGCTCGAATGTGCCAGTCCTGCACACAGCTGTTTGCAGGGTGGGAACACAGACACGCTTGGGGACAGCCAGCAGGAGCACTGCACAGGCCATGGGTTTGGCATTGATCCTAACACTGAACATACGATACATAATCATGGCACACAATGGCACAGAATATACAATACCTGTGCGCTTGGGCATTAAAGTCACTAAAGGCAGCCTGGATTTTCAAACAGGCTCCTCAGACAGTGACATGCTGGGACAGAGTTGATGCAGGAGGGCACAGCTGGTCTGTCTGTAAGTCGGGAAAGTGAAAGTAGGATCATTCTTTATCAGCAGCCTGGAAAACCCCAGGGCAGCAGCACTGATCTAGCACAAGGCAGAACTGAGTGGATCACATTTATCCCAGGTTGAAAACCGACTCGCTTTTTTTTTTTTTTTTTCAGCTTCCTTTACGGTAACAAAAAACACCAAAACAACAAGAAAACCCAACAACAGGGCAGTGGAACATTTGTTAGCTGATATGCCTCTCACCCTGGCAGGATAGCAATCTGGTATGCCCATCAAGCAGAGACATAATTACCTTACACAAAAGGCAGCATTTGAACCATGGCAATTTTTGCTAAATCCAAAGAATAAAAGCTTGGAAAACAGGAAATTGATAGAGAAAAACAACCTAGAAACAAAACCAGACAAACTGGTTCTACACCAACTTGTAACCCACAATAAATAGGTATCTATGGGCACAATTAATCAGCTTTTGCTCTAAGGACATTTCTCCAACTTCCACTGAGCAGCAACAATCAGGGACATAAAAACAGGACACTAAGCAGCAGCATTTAACCCTCAGATGCTGGTGATGAAAGAACACTCAGTGCAGGAGCCTGACCCCAAGGAACTCTGCTAGCTAAAATACTCCCTCTGTGATCACACAGGACATGTATATCACCAGCATGCATGCAGGCAGACACTTAAGAATCTCTTTCAGCAGGCTCTCTCTTATTATTTTTTTCTTCTCTTTATCTTAGACCTGCACAGCTGTAAAACTCGTTGTAAAAGGCAAAACCTTAGACTTTTTACAATCAAGGAATGTTATCATAAAACATCCTGTGATCTTCAAATCATTTTCTTTTTGGAGGGCTATGGTACCTGGAAGTGCGAGATTACACATGTAGTTGTTCTGATTTGTTGTCCTGTGCCCATTGGTTTGGCACAGGACCAAGTAAACGATGACTGTCCAGGCAAGTCTCAAGCCCTCCGGGAACGCCTGTCCTCACAATTTACTCCTGTTTCTAGCAAGAAGACAACGCTGAGAACCCAGACCAGCCTTTCTTTTAGTCTTAAATGAACCACTCGGTGGGAAAATTAAAGGCCACCTTGAACTGTCAAGCAACAAGAGAGGCCTAAAGAGAATCATCTATCACTCAGAATAAACCGTATGAATTTAGATATTTAATATTGGTCCTTTTCCTTAAGAATAAATGAAAATGCATGCCGAACATGTTAATGTTAACAAGTAAAAATACCATTTCTTGCCTGATTTATGAGAATTTACAAAGAACTGAACAAACATAATTACTTAAAAAACCTTTTTACTTCAGAGTCTGAACCAACTAACACTTGAATGCCCATGATTTCTTTTATAAAAAAAATCCTGAAAATATCAGTAGTGAAACATTCTAGGACAAATAATATAGTTAATGTAAACTGATTAATATTTCTGATGAGAATGCTCCTGCGGATCTCTAAACCCAAGCATTGATTTTCACAAATATAGAAAAGTAACACAGTACCAACGTATGTGGTACTTCATTGTATGTGTGACCTTGAGAGAAGATAAAAATCAACATTAATTATTTCAGCTGACGGAAGCCTTCAAGCCTTCAGCTGACAGGAAACAGTAACGTTCATTCTGCATTGAAAGGGTATGTGTACTCTAGGCAATCATTCATTAAACTTTACCACGATTGCTATAGCACTACTCTGAATTACTCACTGAGAAGTTAACGCACATGAAAATATCTCTGCTATGTAGGTTTTCGTTATCTGTGATGGAATGAGAGCAAACTATGTTCCTTTAAATGGAGTCCAGCAACCAGAACTACATAAAGGAGAAAAGGGCTCCCAGATGCATTGCCATTTTCAACCTGGCAATGCAGAAAAAAAAAAATGCATTAATTCCCATTTCTACCCATATAAAAGACAACAGAAGTGGAAGAGTTTGATCATAGATGGTAATGAGATTTAACAAAAATAACTGGACCTTCTCAGTGAATACAATCCACTGGGTTAGAGTAAACAAAATAGCTCCCAGGTGAGGGAAGGGCATTTGAACTGCCACAATCTGAATGCATACATCGTATCTTACCAGCCCATTGATGGCTGAGAACATACCCTTTGTCTTTAGTTCAGAAGAGACTAGAGAAATAATTATTTTTCTGAAAACTCCTGGGGGCCAGAAGACCCTATAAACCAAAAAACAAAGGTTTTGACTAAATTTAGACACTTCCCTAGGTCACATGTCCAAATGCGCTTCATGGCCATGTCTTGGCTGCATGTCTCAATGAAAAATTTAATTTCATACATACCATGCCCTGAACTCCACCTAGGACTAGCTTCGTGTGCATGGAGACAGAATTATGGTGTTCTCCTAGTCTAGAGGAAATAACTTAAAAATAAATACAGAAATGGACCAGATCTAGGGTGCATCTGAACTCAGTGGAGATAAAATAATGAATCCTGTATGACCGTTTGGGTGAAGTACCTAATGAAATACCTGAAAGAAACATCACTAATGGATGAAGTATCAATATAATTAAAAAACAAACCTAACTAAAGAATAAATATATATAAAAAATTACCTTCTTTTCAGTAGGGCTTGAAGTTTTTGATACTAATGCTGCTTCAACAAGACCCTGCTCAAGTAAGGAGTCGTATTTTATGCTTCTTTTTCTGTTTCTCCTCTCTTTATTTGCCGGCTTCTGTTCATTTTCTTCTGATTGAGACACATCTGCACCATTGTCTCCACAAATTGAAGATTCAAAGAGTGGCTTCCCATTCATGTAGGTTTTAGTGATTTTCAGCTTAATCTCTGGAGAGCCATTCTTGATGGGAGTAGTGTTGGGTGGTGTTCCAACTCCTTTTATTTCCTGGGGCTCAAAACGCAGCTTGGCATCTTGGGCTCCAGATTCGCCATTAAACACACGAGAGGTTAGATCTTTCAATTTATCAGCTGGAATAAAGGGAAGGGCATCGTGGCCGTTGTATTTTTGCATGACACCTTCCTGTAGAGTGGCAGAAAGTTGTGCTTTGCCCAAGTAGACGGAACACTCACGATTCACTTCGCAATTCTGAGTTTTCCCATTGGTATTTCCAAGGATCTCTGGTACCTGCTTCATTTTGATGTAGTTAATTTTTTGAGTTAACAGTTGAGAACTTCTTTTGATGCTAAAGTCCATTCAGTCCAGGTGTTTCCAGTCTTACACTGCTGTATTAAGACAAGAACAGAGAGAATATTTTTAGTAATACAGGAACATGAAATGCTACTGCGTTTTCAGACACAGATGTCCCCACCAGTATAGAATGAAATAGATCTAAGTGCAATTTCAAAAAAAAGTGAAAGTATTTCTTATAGACTTCATCATCAAAATATCAGTTCACATTTTTTAAGAAAAAAAAAAACAAGAAAATATAAACATTTATTGATAAATTATCACTTTCATTAAAATAAGTGTGGACAGAGGAAAATTACACTTTTTAATAACCTTCAGCATGAGTCTTGCTCAGAGTAATTACTCAAAAGTACTACACTGTTTCAAACAAGTAAGATTTAAACCTAAGATATCTGTAATAATGATGTTAAATAAAAAGAAAGAAGAAAAAAGGAAGAAAAAAGAAGAAAAAAAGAGTAGTGAAAAAAGAGGCTGTGCCAGAGTAAAAAGCCCACAGGCTGCATTACTGAGGCAACTACACCATGGACAGCAACATCACAAATTTCTCCAACTTTAATTTTATAAACAGGCCCTAAATCTTCAAGTAAAGCACATCCCTAGAGAAAACAAAGGTCAATCTTCAGACTTATTCCAAATCTTTCTGGCAATGAGAGTGAATAAAAGGTGATGTTTTATATCACGAACGCCTGTCTGCTGGGAACCAGCTGAGCACCAATAAGAACACTTCCTACAGGTCAGTGGCCACACTGTGCCAAATAAAATGCACCTGCTGGCATGTTAGGCTTTTAATAATAGCATAATAAAAAGTAACATTAGATAATACCTATTTTTTCATACAAAAAGATCTGAAAACATATGGACAGCTGACGCCACACTACTATCCCCTCTAGGTGGCTATTAGAGCGTTTGACAAGCTAGCCCTGGCCATTTCAGCATTGCAGTATCCTAACCTCTCAAACGAACCCACCTGGCATCCTAGGCAACACAGCACGGACAGCAGAACATGGGGCCCATTCTAATTTTTAAAATTCACGTAAACAAACTCTTCATACTACCAGGCTCAGACTGTGTGTCTCTATATATGTATGCATACATACATACATATATATACATATATATGATATAGAGAAATGCACCATCATAATATTATCTAAGCTCAGGATAATAAACACCATATGTATGCTCAGAGTGGCCAGTTTCATATATGGTTAAGTCCATGAACTGTCCCATTAAAATTTCAGCAGTTCCAATTCCAGATGCTTCCACAAGTAAAGAGGAATAACTACCAAATTTTCTGCCACGACGAGACAGATCTTTTGAATTTCTCACCTGGGTTACTAAAGTATACATGCAACAATACTTACAACTGGCTGATTCACGAGATCTTGTATACCTGCAGCCTGTCTGTCTGCAGCAGCAGCATAGCTTATGCCATTTAAAATAATGTACACAAATACTTTTAAGTCAATGCTCCCTTAGCCTGGTAAAGCTTTCTAAGGATTACATAGTCAGATCTCAAAGCATCTGGCCAACCTGAATCCTTTTCATGCATAAAGACTTGGAGTCAAGTGGGAAGCCCAAAACCAAAACCCCTAAAAATCGTAGCACAGTTAGTCCCCGCAAGCTCCCACCTCCCTAACATACTACTCTACCATTCCCACAGGAGAACGGGATGCCCTTCCCTGCCACACACTCAATTGAGAGATGACAGTGTGGGCACTGAGGAAGTTAAGATTTTCCAAGGACAAACAAATAACAACCACTAATAACGTAAGGACAAGGATACTTCAACTCCAAAGAAGACTGCAACAGGGACAGTCCTACCTTGTCTTTAATCAGATAAAGTCTGAATAACCAAAAAAGCCTCTGATAAAATGAGTGGAAGACAGCTGTAAGAGTATTCACCCTTTCTGAAAAGGATCAGGGTAAAAGGAAACTTCCAAATCCCACCAGAACAGAGAAACAGAAATCGCTAAACCCCAAAAAAGAACTCGTTTAATCGCAGAAACTCTTCTCTGAAAACAAGGACAATTTTTAAAAAGAAAAGCTCCAGATCCAGTTACTACCGTGGTAGCGTCTAAAGCTCCAATTCAAGAGATTTCTTAAACAAAATAGCTCTTATTTAAGAAACAACTCATGACAACTTCTACAATCTCTAGAGAAAGGCAAATCCATTACAGGACAAGTGAGACTTACAGTTACTAATGTGAGAGCAAAACACACACACACAAAGACCAAATTGTGGCAAAATCTGTGTTTCCAGGAACCCCGCAGTAATTCGGAACACAAACCAGAACTTCAGGCTACGTGTCCGAACTCCTCCTACCTCCAACCCAAGCCGAGAGGGGCAGCGGCGCCAGCGCCGGCCTTCCCGCGGTGGGGAGGGACGCCCTCCAGCGGCTCCGACCCGGCTCCCAGGGCCCGGCATGGACGGGCTCCCTCACCAACGGGCCATGGCAGCACCAAAAACACACCTGGCCACTGCCTCCTGTCCATGGACCAGGTGGCAAACTCAAAAACGCTGCTAATAGGGTTCTTCTAACCGCTTCCCAGCGCTTCTGGATGGAGACATCTACGTTTTATCGCATTTGTTCTGTTTGATTTCATCTACAGTTCTACCAGTAATTTTTCTCCTGTTAAGTAACAGCTCTTCTTCTCACTACTTATTTCTTTAAGCTAGACAGCCAGCTAGCAGGTGGCTGGCAGAAAGCAGAGCTGGGCAACTCAAGGAAGCAACAGGTCTGTCAGTCAAGTTAGACCATGTTGCTGCACTACTCCATTTCAAAACATCAGACATACTGAAAAAGCAACAGCCACAGAGATTCAAAAAATATAAATCATATTAGAATCACAAAGTCATTTAGGTTGGAAGGGGTTTCCTGAGGTCATCTGGTCAAAACCACCTCCTGCTTAAATCAGGGCCAGTTCCCATCAAGCTGTTGAGGGCCTTTTCTGCACAACGAATGGTAAACAACCACAGAGCATGCCATGACTTAAAGAAATCCAAGTTAATTTCTTTCTTGATGATAAATCTAAAGATAGAAAATCATAAAACTAAGAAGAACAACAAGACTACAGGATGGGAAACACAGATCATTATATATATATGTATATTTTTTTTTTCTGTATTTTAGAACTTCAGGGAATGAATCTCACTGCCCTAGCTTTTTCTCACTACAAAAACATCCAATACTGGAAAAGGCCCACAAATTGCTGGAGCTTAGAGAGACAGAACATGCAGTTCTAGAGGCATAAGGAAGCTAATGCAACCAACTCTTCACCTTCCTCTTTACTACAAGACAGTAATTTGAGACAGAATGTGGCAGAACTGGTAACATACAGCTTTTAGAGTATGGAAAATGCATCACATTTATGCAGAGAATTAATGAAGCCAAATAAGTGGAAGCTCATAGTAAGATGCAGAGTAATGGGCAAAGTAAGAGACCAGAATACCTGAAAGCAGATACAGTCAAGCAGTTCCATTTGGGAGATAAGATCTCTGGAGACCATGGTAAGGGTAGTCACCATCTCCCAGACCAGCAACAGTGAAAAGACTGTGAAAGGGCAATATGCACCTTTCTGTCTCCTATTTAAAAAGGCAGTGCTGTGGGGCTTGTGTTATGTCTGATAACTATACTCTACATAATGAAATCTATACTCACAGGAGTGACAAAGGGGAGAAAGAGGGGAAAAACTGAGGCTACAGGTAAATTCTGCCCAATCTTTGCTATCTAGCAAAGCATTTGTGGCACTATCATACCATAAGCAAGAAAAAGGACGAGGTGCTTCGTGACGGGAGGAAAAAATAGAACAGAAACAAAGAAAAAGAAGGAAGAAAGAAAATGATCAACAACAGAGATCCAATCACTGCTATGAGCTCAGAATTAAGGAGATCTAAAAGAGAGCATGGGCAAAACAAAGTGAGATGGATCACAGAAAAGATCTGGTTCAATTAGAGCTGCAAAGCAAGGTCCTGAATAATGATTAGATTTGGTAGTTAATTTAACTGTGCTTGTGCTGGAAAGCCATATCACAGGGAAGCAAATGCAATCCCTTATCTCCTTCTAGAGGACTATCTATAGAAAAGGAAACTGGGGGAAGGGTAGAAAAGGGGACGAAAGAACCACACACTAGGAGCAGCTAACAAGCTTACGTTATTATCTACCCCTACTAACTGTCCAGTGACCCAACAAGCACCATTTTCACTAACAAGAAAAAAAAAATCCATGAGAGCCAAGTAGCTTGCTGAGTAAACTTGATATTTTGGCCTGTGAACAAATAGTTTCCAATAAGCAAACAGAGATTTGACTTATTAGAAAAGGTCTCTAGGAATTTTAATGGGACAAGCATGTGTCCTTATAATGGCTTTGTATATATTTTTATCGTAAAAACAAGCTTCACAAGGCAAACATTTCAAATAGTTTTATTAATTACTTGAAGGTCCATCATCTGACAGGAGTTATGTGCCAAATACAGCGAGCCTGCATGTCAGATTCCTCCTTCACTGTCCAGGCCACTATCATTTATGTGATACTCATTATTCATTTCTTCCACATCTGCTGCAATTTCAGAGATGCTTTTCTTGTGTGTCAGAAATAATGGAGTAGTCTATTCCTTCCAATTCTGCCAAAGGGAGTAAACAGAATAAGTAATCAACAAAAAGCTTCGCTATTAAATTCCACCTCTGTTTTGCATAAGAGTTTTCTTAAAGTTATTTCTCAGGTGAATTTGGGACACCAAGTAAAAAATCACAGTAAGAGAACTTTACTCACATAAGTCATTTTTATTATCTATGCATCAGGCTTTCAGCTAGCACTGGAAAAGCTAAGAAATGGCTGCTGCTTTCCACCCTCCGCCAGGTAAAGATAGTTTTGTGATAATAGAGCCTTCTCATCCTCTCAGTGAGACCACCAAAAGCTACTCCTATTTTCAGATGCGAATTAGACAAAATACTTTCAACATTAGACAAAATAAATCAGCAAAGGTATAACAAATTCTGCTAATACATTTGAAAATCTGAATATGCTTATTCACATTATCTTGTATTTAGAACCACAGTAACAACTCGGAGTGCAGACATATTCTGCCATGCCCTGTATTGTGACTGCTCCTAATATTAATGAAACATTACTACGGGTTCTGAACAGAACTTTCTTTTATCAAAAACAAAATGTGTAACTGAAAACTACATTGTGGATTTGCCAAAATTTTTTGCAAGTCAGCTCTATCCAGCAAATTCAAAAGCATTATCTTCCAAGGAGAAAAATGTTACCATAGTAGCTAATAGATAACTGAAAAGAATTACAGCAAAACTTTCTAAAAATTCTAACAACTTACCATTAATCTTGGGAGAAGAGAGAGGAAAAAACAAACAAACAAAAAAACACCCCACACCTTTAGTCCAAGGGAATCAATCTTAAGTTTAAAAGCATCTCAAATAAAGGTCTTGCAGTAGATGTATCATGGTTCAAGCTAACCAATCAGGTGGCAAGTTTGGCATATTAAGTATTTTTAAATGACTACATGAACATTTCCATAAGTTTACTGTACATGATAACATTCATATAGAGACTTAATTGGCATTTTTCCAAATGGCAATTGTCCAAAAAGACCAATGGTTCACACAAGAAGTGTGAATAGTTACAAAAAAAAAAGTGTTCTTTTAGTTATACTTAAAGCTAGCTGCGAAATATCTTGAAAAGAAGAGTAACTCTCTCTTTTATAACTGCATTTCTTTTCTAATGGATAAGGCTTCAAAACTTAAAACCATATATTTTCACCAACTATAATATTTATTGCCTTTTGCTTAAGCACGATACTAACTTACATAATTGAGAAGTGCAGATGGCAAGCAAAGAATTTCTTCACTTTACGTGTTATTTGCTATTGCCGAAAACAAGCTTACAAAGCTCATCAACTCAACGCTGTTCCTCCTCAGGAATTTCTTTTCCCCCCCGCATCAAACCTTGCTGCTGTGGATAAGGCTGCAGAAAATTCTGCAACACAGCTCCTCCCTTTTAACTTATTTTCTTCAAAATCAGGGAGAAAAAGATTATTCTGTCACCACTGAAGAAATTAAGTTCGTCGGTTTTGCTCCTGCTGCTGAAGGCGAATGGTAAAGGGAGACAGATTTATGTAAATTCAGATTCTTGTAAAATGTTGTATTTCTGGCTAAAGAGAGCTTATAGACACAACAGTGGTAGGACCACAAAACAAACAGGAAAGAATTTCTGTCTCCTCTGCAAATAAGCACAGGGAAATGTTAGAACCTAAAATGGTAGAAACTCGACTGGATTTATCACCAGTACATAATAAACACTATAAGGTGGGCCTCAACAGTTGCTTGGCAAGTAGCTAGGAAGGAAGAGAAAAAACAGGAGGGGGGGCAAAAGAGCTACCTCCCCACACACACTTCAAATGCATAAATGAGACTGACTGTCTCTCTGAGGGTTCCCAGTGGTTCGGCTTAAGGGAAGACCCCTCTCTAGCAAAACAGGACTGGACAGAACAGCCAGAATATTTGTTCGGGATAGGCATTTACTCAGCAACTGAATTATGTCTCTCTCACGAGGGCCAGCTTTCTCTCTTTATACACTTCTAGCTTCTGCTTATCTTGGGAATGAAGAACCAAATATAACCTCAAATAACTCAGCCCTTTGGTGCAGAGCTCCTTCCTCATTTATGTTTTTCAGCTGTTTCAAGCTACTCGAATTTTACATCCACTTCTTTAATACTACCAACATTTCCTGTTCAGCTTCCTGCCTCTACTCCTAGCATCAAATCTCCAGGACCTGGATCCTCTGGTTCCGAGGAATACTCAGTGCAGGAGATTAGAGCACTAAAAATCTGTTTGTTTCCTCTTCACTGCAGCCAGTGATTTGATTTGGCCCTTACTCCCATATGCAGGGATGACAGCATGGGAACTGCCTGAAGCATCACTGCGAGCAGCGTGAAAATCCTGGTTGTACAAATTCCAAGAAGGAAAGATCGAATCTGGGATGACATCACAAAATAAGTTATCAATATAAGTAATGAAGCAATCGCAACATTATCAAAACGCTCATCGGCTGCACTCTGTACGAATGAACCACGTTGCCCAGCTCTGGCTACTTAGCGACCCATTTTTAACGATGAGGCTACAACCATTGGTAGACTTTTGGTAATGGTCACCTATCTGTAATGGTAATTTGTCACTGCATTAAAACCTGCTCACCTATGCAAGTGGATTTAGGTGCCAGAAGCACAGACTGTGCTTTGCAATCATTCTAAAATGTGGAGTTCTGACACCAGCAACACATGGGGCCTTGGCAATAGGGTGGAAGTTTAGCTATATGCACATACAGTTCAGTAACAAAAACTTTTGAATAGAGTAGTATTTGGACAAGTCTTGTGCTGTTCATAAAAATATTAATGCACCGGAGTGATAAAGCACCTTTAACATGGACAGGTAACCCTTGTAAAAAAAAATTAACTCTGTATTAAATCGCACATTCCGCAACATGAATAAAAACAAGAAAAAATAAAAAAACTGATCAGACACAGACTCAGTTAATATTGACTGAACTGCACCACAGATTTTTGCTGATACAGTTAGGCCCATCACCAAGAAATACTACGTTTGTGTCAGATCAATGGAGCTATAACATAATCCTAGGCAAACTATGCTAATATTGGTGTTACTTAAACATAAACTGTAACTACATGCATTTAATTATGCTAATTATTTTATCAATGTGTTATCACAAATCAAAACTAACACACACAACTGACAGAGAGGCCAGGAACACTCGAACACGGCCCGAGTTCACCAGCAGCTTGGAATGGCAGACACACTCCAAACAAATTCAAACGCTTGGTAATAAATGGCCTTCTTGGTTAGGACACTACTCTGAAGCGCAAAGTCTCCCTGCGCTGGGACTTCAGCAGGCTTCTGCCAAAAGGCCCTACCACCATCTGCATGGCTCTTGATCCCCTTTCCGTTTCTTTCATTACATCCACACCAAGACCCTCCCCAGACTAGAGATTTATATAGCCATTATCAGTAAAAGATCTGTAATTTGAGATGAGTTTTTATGATCATACGCAGTATAATAAACACTTGCCAGTCCAAAAATTCAGTTACTTTGACCTTCTTGGCCACTTTCTAAAACCTTGTTGTTTCTGCTGTTCACAACGTTCTTTTTTTCTTTTCTCATTCTGTCTCTCACCATTTTTGCTCTGTCAGCACAGATTAGTTTTGCAGACTGGCTCACTACATCATCCAATTTAGTTCTTTGCGCAGATTTTGACTTAACTACTTTTTATAGGAATATCTACCAAGTTCTGAATGTATGAAATAAGTCTCATTATTCAACTGTACTTTCTATCCACAGTTTCTGAAGACCCAAGTCTCCCTCCCACTTTGGAGCCAGGCATTCTGTTCATTAATACATATAGTGCAGACACTTCCTACTGTACACTTCAAGTCTTTTAGTTTCATTAATTATATACCTCAGTTTTGTATTATTGCTGAATTTCAGTCACACTCCAGACTTAACCACAGCACTCGTTCCCGGTTAATTCAGGAATGTTACTACAAAACAGCTTCTAGTAGTCAGTATTCCATGTCCACAACATTAACTTCATTGTGAAGCATCCGATTGAAAGTTCTTGGCAAGTGTTCCATATAGTGAAATTATCCCTATTCATATCTTCCATCCTGCACAGCTCTCCGAGGTTCATACTTTGGCTTAAACCCTTTTGACTCCGTTATGAATGTAGAGTCTGGATGTTCTTTACTAGAGAGATAATTCCCCAATTCAGATACTTTTGAGTGCCAACACAGTCAGGTTCTCTGCTCCAGTGGCATCCCACTAAGGCTGGTAAGAAGTTCCACAGTGGATTTATCTGATACATGATCTCATACAAACCTCAGCCCTACAGACTAATCCATGACACAGCAGGAACGTTTACATGCAAGAACATCCAACCTGTTATCAATTTTGTAAAAAATGAAACAGGCCACAAACACTACTAGAGGAGGTTGCTTTACTGCATCTCTTTCCTACCGTTTCTTCTATACTTCTATCTGATAAGGAGCTTTTCTGAATATTTCAAATGGATTTTAGATCACATTTCTTATGAAATCTTGCTTAATCTCAGCCTTCTTTCTTGAAAATATTTTTGTCACAACATATTTTATCTTCTACTCCTTGGTATATTTATTACCTCACAAGGCAGAATTACAAGACTACAGCTTTCATTCTCTATTTGGTTTTTGATGGCAGCAAAGAAAACATGGAATTCTGACCTTACCCTCAAAACCAAATATGTTAATTATTGTAAAATGCATTTTTTTTCCTTCCCCTCCCCCCATGTGCATTTTAACACAGATATGAGGTATCAGCATGGATATTTTGAGGAGAGATACAAACCCGAACAGGTGTCACAAAGACAAAGCTAAATTGCCAGTCTTTATCAAGTGGAGGGAACAAGACTGATTTCACTGACCTGACAGAAACTGATACCATCCTTCACAGAGAGCAGAAGGAAAAATTATAAAGCCTCTATTTCAACTTACAAGTTCCTTATAAAGGACACTAAAGGTT